ATGCATAGCATGATGAACCTCAGGTTCTCTCGAGGTTTTATAAAGGCATTTAGGGATAAATTCTCCCAAGAATGCAGACTCAAATGGAAAATGAAATGGAACATGAAATGGAAACTAAGAGTTACAGGGCTCCACATCTTGAGTCGGATTCCGCGAAGGTCTGAAACATTCTGAGAAAAACTATCGGACGTTAGCGCTCGGGCCAGCAGTTTACATTGCTTTGCATCTGGGAATTACACTGGCCAGGAATCCTGAGCCCTTGTATCCAGTGCAAGAAAGAGCTTGGGGTCTAGGGTTCAGGGTGCAACAAAGCTTCACTGAACCTCTTTCGGAAAAGTCTGCTTGTGCCTGCTGCATAGGACGCGTGGTGTGAAACTGCACGTTGCAGGGGCCGCATGATGGCATGGTAACGAGATTTGTTTGCTTGCCCAAGCTACATCGATAGAGCCCTACATATTGCAGTCAGAGCTCAAAATCTTACTGAAATAACTCCTAGGTCCTATACAGGCATTGACCTATAGGACGGTGCCTGTTCTCCTTGGGTCCTTAACTTTAGCAGAACAGACTTGCCTCATGGGAGAGATGGGTAAGCAAACAAGCCTTACCTGACGGCCTGCTCAATCAAAGACCTACGCGTAGACGTAGGCCTGCGCCAGAATCAGTCAGTATAACAAGATTCTGATAGGCAGACCTAAGGAAGGCGCTGGGTCACTTGTGCAGAACGGCAAAGGTGCGACTCACATCTTCACTACTTCCCTTAGGACTCTTCCCCACAATCACGGGCCGTGAGGCTTAGCTTTCTGGGCCTGAGATGAGGACCGCGAACTACGGTCTTGTGGTCAGTCGCCTCAGGGCTTCAAGCTGCTCATACTGGAAGAGCTGGGCAATGACTGGGCCAAGGCTCTTCAAGAAGGCCACGGGTTCGTTTCTGCCACCATCTGTTCTTCCATTGCTTCTGCATCAATGCCTGAATGATATCTAGGGTAACAACTGTCATAGCCATAGTGTAACAACATAGGCGGATTTTGGCATGCTGTGACAAGGGTAGTATTTCTCAGAAGAATTTTCAGCCCCAGCACACCAGCGACCCCAACAAATCCGTATTACTACGACGGGCATCCCCAAGGGTGGGACCGAAACCTTTAACAACTCCACGACTCCCCCCAGCTGATTGTTTCTCAGGCCCCGACCTCCAGACCTCACTTGGTCATGTTTTCGGCCAGCCATTTTATCGCCTGGCGGCTAAAAAGTCCGGTAGCACGTACCACGATGCAGAGGGTTCTGTGCAGCTCTCTGCAGTCCGCTTCTAAGCTTTCGCGTTCATCCTACCAGCCCGCAAATGAAGTTGTAGAGTAATGTCCTTGACATGAGACCCAACATTCTGCAAAGCCTCTGAACCAACGCCAAGTGAGAGGGCACCTAGCTACTCCACCCCCAGATGCAAAACCCAATCCCTTTACTACCCAGCCATAGCCGTACCTTTCAGAAAGCTCCATGTGAACTATAGCTTAAACCCCTAGTATCCCCCTTAATGAGCCTTGTAATACTCCCCCCTACTTAACCCGTTGTGAGGAGTTTAAACCTTAAACCCCAACCCTAAATCCTAACCCATATATAGCCCCTTTTCAAGGAGTTTACACTATGGCTCATATGGTAATTTCCCAAGATAGGGGGACCCCAGCATAGACCCCAAAATATAATATCATTATTCGGGGGACCCCTAAAAAAGTACCCCTAATTTCGCGACACCCTAAACCCTATATGTCCCTATACTATCTGTATATAACCCCTATAGACACTTTGAACATACTGGGAAACCCCCCATATCATCCAGCATACCTCCTCCACTCCATCGCCCTTCAGGGCGTCGCAGGAGAAGAGCTGCCACGGCCTTGGACCCCCAGCTTTTGAAAAAATCCTGTTGTAGAGTTTAGGGATTAGGGTTTAGGTTCAATAGGCTTTAGGGGTTGAGGGTTTGGGGTTTGGGGGTTTTGGGTTTAGGGGTTTGGGGGTTTAGAGTTTGGCTTTGGCGCAGGGCTTAAGGTTGGGGAGTATCGAGGCTTACGGCAACAAGGAATCTTAAAAGAGGCACTTGAAACGGGTTTTGGCTTCATCACAGGGCCAACCCCTAGGGACTCAGGAACACAAGGGGATTAGGGATCAATTCCCCTCCAGGAATTCCCTGGAATCTAGAAGTTCTGTGGCAAGCTTCGGAATTTTGGCTGGTAGGCTTGAAGATCGAGGGTGCTAAGCTTGATTCGCACGGCCGTGGTATGCAAGCATATCATCCTGGGAAATGTCCAACCCTTGGGTAAGAGGATAAGTGCAAGAAGACACAAGGTTGGAACCTTGCAGGTACTTAGGGACCCCAGGAAGCAGGCAGGGCCCATGGCAGGGACTTCTGAGGAATAAGTACGGCTGAATGAACCATGCTTTTCTGGGCGCAACGCCTGTCGGTGATGCGATCGAGACCTAGAGCCTGTGGAGCATTCGAGGCTTCAGGCACGCAGGGGCGGAGGTGTTTTGAATTTGGGTCTTGGGGTTTGGGGGGTGGATGCTTGTGGAATATGGCTTTCAAAGCTTTTTTTCACGGCTTGGGGTGAGGCTTCAAAGGGCTCGGGGGGTGTCATCCACAGCAATCTCGTACATTCACAGACATGGCTGCCACATGTTTCCCCAACGTGATGACCAGCATGCTTTTGAAGTGTGCTGCCGCAATACTTTCCCTGGACCTTAGGGCGGCCACCCAGACAGCAAAAGCACCTTCCTGTACTATACAATCGGAGGGGCGAAAGACTCAGACCTCCACACTCAGCACTAAACCTGGCATCCTGAAACACACATCCTGTACTCTAAGCCCGACCAACACCTGCGCCCTCAACCTCTCAATCCCATGCACTGCACACTATCACCTCCACCCCTTCCCTCGCGCCTTTGGGCAGCCGTTCAGAGCTTACACTATTCACCATCTTCCCATATGGTAACAGATTATACTCTCTTAAGCCCCAAGAGAATCCCTGACCCCAGTTTCCGCTTCATTTTCCAGCGTCTTTGCCATGTTGTTCTCCATCATGGTAATTCAACTTAAGTTCATTTAGGCCAAGCATGAGCCCGGCCTGCATAGTCTCCTGCGGGGGAGAGGCAGCTGGCTGATCCACCTTGTTGTTCAGGAACCTTAGTCGTCAGAAGCTTGGAGTGTGCAAACATGCAGTTTTTCTGAGAAAGAGCTAGAATTCTTACGCGCAGAACTCTACCAGTCGAGGGGTGTGCAGTGTATATAGGGGCCCGGATTTTGGCACATACTCACTGTTCTGGTTTATCGTCAACATTTGTTTTCAGCCCCAAAACATCCGCAGGCCCTAACAGAAATCATGCCGAACAAAAGGCTCACTGCCCCACACCCGAGACCCCGGCAAAGGATGCGACCAGATATTGCAGTGTTGACGGTTCGACATGCATGCCCCGGCTGGGATTGATAGAGGAGTACAGGACTTTACTTCAGCAGCGTTTTGTCAACGCATAGCAGAGCTGGCCTTACGGAATGAAGATGCCTTGCTCAAGGTCTCGGACTTGTCTTAAAGGAGCTTACTTGGAGTTTCAATTGCAGCGACAGCTACAACTTCAGCCGCGTCTGGCCATGGCAGCTACCAAGCTGAAAAGCATTCCTAATGGGGTTCTGACCCACCGAAACTGAGTCAGCGACAGGATCGGCATCTTCTTCTCTGCTATTCTTGGGTCTGCGAGCATGGTTTCCAGCTCGTCCTGCAACGCAATCCAGGCATCCCAGGAAAGGAATAGATTCCTCCAAATGGTGGCTGGATTAACATCTTCTGAGGAGAACAACGCAATTGCTGCTGAGAATGCCTCTTATCATTGCCAGACTTGAGCTTCATAAAGTGAAACCAACGAGGTCTCACAACCCTAAGATAGCATTGTTTAAGCCAACCTTCTGTCTAAAATTCTTGCAGCTACGCCTCCCAGGGGAGTGTGGAACACAGCAAGTATGATTTTGCGGTGGCAAGGCAATTGGACGCAGGGGTCTATTCCGAGTTGAGGCCCTATTCCCACTGGGATCCCTTTGGCTATCCCTACTCAAGTTTGGGGATTGCCAAAAACTAGGGGTACCTCTTTGGGGCCCCTATAGTAAGTGCATATTGGGGTCTATATTGGCGTCCCCCTATTTTGGGAAACTACCGTTTCTACTCAAACAGACTCACATCCGCCTTGACAACTGCAAAACGAAGCTTGTCGGTGGAATCGATAACGACAATGATGCCCTCGACCTCTCCTTCATGCTTAGGGCTTCGGCTTAATTAGGGTGTGAAGGTTGTTGGTTCCAGATTGAAGGTTGTAAGCCCCTATATCATTCCGGTTTCCAGTTCATTTTTCATTTTCTTTCCCATTTGATTCTCCGTTATTGGGGGTAATATCGGCAGTAATACCCCTCAATCAAAAATGTCCCGGTCGGTATGAGCCAGGTATTATATTCCTTCTTTAGGAGGAGCCAGCAAGACTCGTCGGGGACTTCATAAGGTTACAGGTCAACAACATACAAATCGTCCTTACTGGTTCTTACTGGGGAATAAGGGAATATAGTGTACATGGATTATATAGGTATTATATTCCCTTATTCCCTACTAAGAGCCAGTACCAATCTCGGTGCAAATGGTGTTGATTTCAGCTCATAACCCCGCACACGCACAGATGTCAATTTTGGCTCTGGCATCTCTCCTACCAGTGAGCAGAACGGAACTGCACGGGTCCCCAACTGCTTGACAAAGCACACACCCACCAGGTTTTCAGTGTTTTGACCTTCTTGCTAACAGCTCCCCCTCTTGATTTTCAGTGACGAACATGAAGCTGCAAACCCTATCATTAAACTCATACGCTTGGTCAGAGCCAGACAAGTCACGCTGAATTACCACCGTTAGCGAAGATTCTAGGTACATCCCACAAGTTCAACATGCCTTGGCATAAACCCACCATTCTCAGGCTTCAGCCGTAATAGTGCTCCCATAGATTCCGATATCGGCTCTGTCCAGACCTGTCGGCTTGAAAATTAAAAAAAAGGTCTGAGGCTTCACGAATTTCTCGAAAATGAGTTGTGTGAGCATCCAAGTTCGCGGCATATCAAGAGCAGAAAAATTGACTCCATGCTTCTGAAACTCCTGCAAGGCAACATGTCAAAGCAGTCCTTTTCTGGCAGCCCGCAGAAAAGGAAGAACCAGGATAATGGGGACAGCAAATTCGTCATAGTGATAGCAAGCAAGAATCTGATAGGTTGAAGCGACACATTGTCTTCAAACTAGGGAAACAATGAGGAACTTGCGAAGAATTGCGCCCTGGCCTGGGTGATTTGAAAAGGACTAGGTGGTTGCCCTTGTTTTTGGCGGTGGTGTCAAGCCGCGGAAAAATTATCTGCAAGTCTTGGGGCCTTGACCTCTATCTCTGTTATACTGTCAGAGCTTGCAGAGACAGAGAACAGCACCGGCGAGTAGCAACGTATATGAGCTCATCCTTGGGGTGCAGCACGCATCGCTAGTACCGCACCAAGTAGTTGGGCTACTGCGGTGGGACCCAGACTTTGTCCATGTCATTCAAAGCAAACTTTTTGTCCTCTGTGTTGAAGCCAACAGTCGGCACCTTGGTCGCAAAACTTCCCAGGTGCAGGGCACAATGGCAACTCGCTACATGTGGTTTTTCTATGAATCAGAGGGCCCCCAAAATGTGCCCCAATATACCACAACCTGTGTCATAGGCATCCCCAATTAGGGGCTCCCAATTTGTGGAACCCCTCACATAGCCCGCAAAAAAAAACAAACAAGCAGCCTCAACAAACCTGCATCGTTCTATGTCTGGTGTTTTGCAGATAAACATGTCACTAGTAGTCGCATACCCTGGGCCTATGCTGGGAACTGCCCAAAGGGGATCCCATGTGTATTCGAAGGTGACGTCCACATACCCGGGAAGACTCTAGTAATACGTTAGATCATTCCAGTGTTCACTTCATTTCCATTTCATTTTCCACCATTGCGACCATAATTCGCCTAAACGCTAAACCCTCATAAAGGCCGTAACCTCATGTTCATTGACATGTGCTTGCAGTCAATGTCTGTGTAGCAGTCCATGTGCCCTTTGAAGGCGAGGGCCAGACCGTTTCCAACGTTGCCTTCTTAGGCTTCAGGGCATTGAGGACAGTAGTCTTGCCTGAGGTGGCTGAAGGGTTCGGGGTTGATATGTAGAGACATACATAATCGGAGCACGAATATTGGGTAGGCATTTGGAATGACTTTGCACGGGCTAACCAGGGCTACAAGGCGACCAGGGAAAAAGCAAGATCTCAATAAGCGTTGACTTCTTGGAGGCTTTACAATTGGTGTTTGTGGGCAGCGGTTGGAGGTCGGAGACCGGCAGCCAGCATTGGAGTGTAAGTTTAGCTGATGGCCTACACCCCACATTCGAAACCCTTGTGTGACACCCGGCTTCTTGGATGCCTTTGCTCATCTACTCCCAGCCACTGCGCTTGGTGCACAGACTTGGGCCTGCCCAGGATCCGTGCTGCACCTACCAAGACTGCTACTGCTACTGTCCGAAACAATCAAACGACACCGGGCCGGGCGCGTATCAGGGTTTCACGGAAGCCTATTTGCGAGTACAAAATCGTGCGCTGACTGTCCTCCACCCCCGTGAAGGATTAGGGCATGACTCATGAGTCTTTTCAACACACTCAACACTCAACCCGAAAAGACCGGTATGCAGATGTGACAAATTTACAGCTTTCATACACTGACCTTAGCAGCGTTTGCTGGTCGAACCGTGGAACCATGCTCAAGCAAGATTGTTCTTCGCAAGACCAAGGATACGAACCAGTAGGCTGGGCTGATGGCCACTGTTGTCCAGGCCCACAACTACGATTCGGACCTGCAGGAGTTGCTCTTGTGTTCGAGACGAGATCATGCGGTCACCCTTTGTATTGTAGGAAACAGGGTTGGAATTGCAGCAGGCTGATAGAACTCCTTCTTGAGATGCATGCTGCCTCCCTTATAAGGTACCCTATCGCAATCTTGTTGGGCTTTGCCTTAGGCGTCAAGGTTTCAAGACGTGCAGCTTCAGGTTGTCAACCAGCATGGTGAACACAATACGCGGTACATCTGCTAAGGCAAATCCCTTCTTGTCCTTGAAGCCAGTAGACTGAAGCCCCTGTTGCCACTCGTTAGCGTTGATGTACGTTGCAATGTCAAGGCTAGACCCCCAAATGGCATGTTGCCAGTCTTTGAGATCACTTTAGTTTCTTGAGAGGCAGACCGGCCTTCTTTTTTGTCCCAAATCCTCCGAAGAGTCTCTTGAAGATGCCCATGTGCCCCTCAGTCCAGTCAAGCTGCGGGCCAGAAAGGGAGCAATTAGGTCAGGGGGATTCAGCTTCTTCAGTTTCTGGCCATGTGGGAACAAGTCAGTGAAGGTATCGTAGCAAAAGAAGGTGCCGTGAAGGATTTTTAAGCGAGTTCGCCAACACTATGGCTCACTGCTGCTTTATCCCCAAATTTAACATTCAAAAGTCAGGTTCTTCTCACACCCTACACTCCCCAAAGAAACATTGAAAGGGAAAGTGGCGCATTGTCGACAACGGTCTATGTGCACAAGAACCTAGATGCAGTTTCATGTGCGTTCAGGCAGGCTACATGCCCGCCCACTCTCAAATCAACATGCAATCCCGGACGGGTCGCACAAGGACCACTGTTTGTCAAACATTAACTTTTTTTGTCGCATTTTTGCGTCAGGTTGAGGGAGGCATCTCGGGAAAAAACAACAAGTCGGCTGGAGTCGAGATGCTCAGCAGCGGTGTTCCTGTCGTTGTGCTGGTTGCAGAGATAGCACCCTGCCTAGGTCCAACGCAGAGACGAGCCCGCGCAGTGCAGCGTGTAGGCGGTTTTGAGAAAGCTCGTTCAGGATAGGTACTATCAGGCTTGCAGAAAATTTCCAGATTATGCAAAGGATATCATCGAAGGCACAAGGAATAGAAAAGTGGAATGTCATCCTTAACTCAGTAGAAGCCAATAGTTGATGAACCAGCAACCTATTCCGGTGCAGTCCCTGTTAGCTTGGACTTGAAGGTTGGGGCTTTAGCTGCTTTGCGGATCTCGGGCGGGGGCAGACCCCAACACACGGGCGCTTTAGCGCAAACAACTGCTGAGCGTGTCTCCGAACATGCGTAGATCAACAAGGCACCTTATGCAGTACCTGCATGAATGGGGGTCAGAGTCATCCAACCTGAATCTGCGCCCTGCCCATCTCATGCCCATGTCTTGATCATTGTTGGGATGCTTGTCTAATTTCCGGAGCCCTAAGCTCAAGCATAGAATCCTACATGTCCTTCACGGTGATACCCCCCAACATCACTACGGCCTACTTGCTGTACGTGTACCATTGCGGGGAGGAGGGGGGCTCCAATCACAGAGACGCGCCTGGACATATAACTTCCCGAATAAATATGACTCATATACATATCATTCCTGATTCTTCGCCTTTCACAGGTGAAGGTTGCCCGTCACCTGATGAATGCGTTAGCTTGTAGTTAAGCTCCACATGAAAGGGAAGGAATGTTTGATCTTATCGGACCCTCATCTGGGTTGCTGTTAAGGAACTCAAAATTATGTATTGTAGTAAAGGAAACCCTATCATTTACTACATGCCCATATTATAAATATGTGGTAACTTTATACCCTAAGCCCTACATGCCCATACTATGGTAACTAAATTTCAGTTACCTACAACAGCAACCCAGTCATCTGAGCTCAGTGCTTGGGGCAGGCTCGGCTGCCAAAGCTTCAGATCCCCCGCCACGGTGAGCCGAAGTGAATACAAGGGTTCGAGTTAAAGGGTTCGGCTTGGGATTTTGGGTTTGGGGCTTATCTCTATAGATCTCGCTGTTTGAGCAGAGGCTTATTTACCTGACTTAAACATGCTGGACGAAGGCCCCAACTCCAATCAACCAGGCCATGCCCCAGCACCTCCTCACGTGCTATCATGTGCGGGCAGTTCTCTCCAGAAGGTTTGTCTGAGCACGGCGGATAACAACAGAGGAATCCCATGCTGGGCAGACGCACAAGCATGTAACTTTTTGTAAGCGCCGTCAATAAATTGGCTCAAGTCTTTGCGAGGTGCCTTAAAAAATGGTTAGGGCATCGTGCAGAAGCATCCTCCTTTCCCTTGTTGATTTCATGCTCGCTCTCAACATCTGGGCGCATAAATGTCAAGGCTTACCTCATCATAACTAGGAGGATTATCAGAATTAACTGAAGCATTCTGCCCTCTACTTCTGGAGTCCCACCAGGGGTAGGTCTTGCAACTGAGACTGATCAGGTATCAGGTTGGAACCGCCACCGCCGCCTCCGAGACCTTCAGGAGTTCTCTTGCGGATACATGGGAGTGGGTCAAATTCTATTTTCCCAAATTGCCATTATGCAAAATTGTGCTCCCCACATTTCTATTATTCTAGGCCTACAGAATCCCCAACAAAAATCTCCAAGGCACCTTTACATCACCCCCCTCATGGGTAACTAAAGGTGGGGTTATGAGTCCTAGATAATTAATTTAATTTCCCCAGATGTGAGAAACTCCCCACCTCGGCATGCTACAATCGTGGATGATCTGCCTGTGTCCCACGTGTGCTGAAGCGCTGAAAACGTTAAAGGACCTTCGAAGTATGGACCCAAGAGTTTTCAAACTTCCCACCTGAACTCAGGCCATTGCAGAGGAAAACAACGGCAGCCACCAAAATAACCAGTCCTTGGCTAGTCGCGAAGCGATTCGCTATGTTTAGGTTCTTCTTGGAGTTCTGCGAGTCGCGGAAAGGTTTGTTGAAACTACAAGCTTTGTCTCCTGAAGACTTCGATTCTCAAGGGTCGGTTCTCAGATGCTGCTTGCCTTCTTCAAGGAAAGTCCAGACGAATTCCAAAGCCTGAGTTTCAAGTACTTTTACAAAATTCGAGCACTCACTAGGAGTTTGAAGGATGACTATCATAATTCTCTTAGTTTCTGCGTAAGGCTATACCAGGCACAAGCCGCGGTACTCCCCGGCTAAAACTTTTAAGCATGTGATGATGCGTTCGGCTACTAAGCCTAGGACCCTGAAGCTGAAGTAAGACAACCTGAACCTCAAACTTCACTCCCNNCCCCCCCCCCCCCCCGCCCCCTCCCAACATCGAAATCCTAACCCTAAAGCCTTACCCTTCCCCCCCAACTACTGTGTTTACTAACAAGGGCCCCAGAGAGGCTGTAGTCCTTAGAAAAAGGGGGCCTATACGAGGTTACATGCCAGCTTGAGGAAATCTATACTAATCTGCTGAGAGGCCAATGATGGGGGCAAAGGATGCCCCGCGGATGTTCTCCGCGATGGAGTTTTTGACCTTCTCGATCCTTGGCTTCTTGTGTATCGGCTACGGGTTACATGGCTGGACTTTACTTGGACCCAGAAGTATGCAGAATAAT